CACCCCAACGGGCTGCCCGTGTCTGTGGTTTTTTCATGAAGGTGAGCCCTTTGCCTGGCTGCCCCCATCCATCCAATCCTCTTTGCAGAAGGCCAGTGATGGGAAGAAGGTGGTGGTGGTGCTGGACCCCAAGAGGAGCAACGCCATCAACATTGGCCTCACGGTCCTGCCACCCGTGCACATCATCAAGACAGCCGTGCTCAACTTCGACGAGTTTGCAGTCAACAAGGAAGGGATTGAGGTGAGCACCAGAGCAGCTCAGCTTCTCTGAGGTCCTCGTGCAGGTCATTTCCCCTGGCCAGGAGGCCTCCATGCCACAACGCCTGTGCTGCCAGCCCTGGGTTGACACATCCCATGGTGACATGTCTGGAGTCTGACGCATCCCTCTTTGCCTGTTATAGAAAATCCTGACCATGGTGCCGACCGAGGAGGAGAAGCAGAAGATCCAGGAGGCCCAGTTGGCCAACCCTGATGTGCCCTTGGGCTCCGCGGAGCAGTTCCTGATCGCCCTGGCTTCCATCAGTGACCTCACGGCCAGGCTCCAGCTCTGGGCCTTCAAGCTGGACTACGAGAGCCTGGAGCAGGTACGGAGCTGTGTACCCCATCGCCCCTCTGCCCTCCCACCACTGCCAGCCCCAGCAGTGCTGAGTGCTGAGCCAAGCGTGTTCCTGGTGGGAACCAGCCATGTCCCAAGTACAGGACACGCCGTCCTGGCTGGGGATGGGCTGCACTGGCTGGGTATGGGCTGCAGGTCTCCAAGGCGAGTGTGGGCTTGAGTTGACCATGGGGTGGTTGCCCTCATGGGCAAGGGCGAATGCCGAAGCTCCCAAGGGAGAGAGTCACCAAGGGATCTCACCTGCCTCTTTCCTCACCCAGGAGATTGCAGAGCCACTGTTTGATCTGAAGGTGGGCATGGAGCAGCTGGCCAGAAATCACACCTTCAAGTGCATCCTGGCCACGCTGCTGGCCATGGGCAACTTCCTGAATGGCTCTCAGGTGAGGAGCAGGGTGGGAGGGACATGGACTGTCTTGAGTGCCACAAGGATGGGACCAGCCATGGCGCATGGGTACCCAAGAGGAGGGACCATGCGAAGCTTGGGGCGGTGCCGGAGGAGGCTGGGTGGTGTGGGTGTTGGTGGGGACCCAGTGGGGATCTGTGTGATCTGCTGGAGGAGGGATGTAGAGGCCCCACTGAGTCTGTTGGGGTTTCAGAGCAGAGGCTTTGAGCTGGGTTACCTGGAGAAGGTCTCAGAAGTGAAGGACACTGTGCACCGGCAGTCCTTGCTCCACCATCTCTGCCAGATGGTGGTAGAGAAGTTCCCAGAAACCACCGACCTCTACTCGGAGATCGCCTCCATCACCCGCTCCGCCAAGGTGAGGCAAGGCAGATGACACCCGGGCAAGGCACGGGTGGAGGTCCTACGGCTG